TCACTCATCCAAACCAAGACCAGACCAAAACCCCCACCTCATGGCAATAACACTCCTGGATGGCAGTGGTCCCCCCAGCAGAACATGCACCATGCCTCACCACAAACAATGCTCAGAAATGGAATGTAAGGCATCAACCTGGCCTCCAAATTCCAGATCCAGATCCCAATCTGATCGAGCATCTGTGGAACATGCTGATACCCCACCTCACAACCGACAGGTCTCAAAGGATCCACTGCCAACGCCCCAGTGCCAGACTCCAAAGCACACCCCCAGAGGTCCCGTGTCCATGCCTTGACATGTCAGAGCCAAGTCTGATCCAAAAAGACCCCACTGTGGATCAGGGGTACCTCTGGGTTACTGGCACATCTCAGGAATACTCAATCAGATTGGGATCTGGGACGTTTGGAGGCCAGGTCGATGCGTTGAGCTCTCTGTCATTATCTATCTATCTATCTATCTATCTATCTATCTATCTATCTATCTATCTATCTATCCATCCATCCATCCATCCATCCATCCATCACTCCCTCCCAGTTTACAGAGGGACTTACAGTTTCGACTTTACCTTGCTGTAGTTGTGTGTGGACACAGTATTTCTACACAGTGAGGGATTACTTTTAGTTTAACCTCCAAATAAAGTACTTAAGATAAACTGGCTACACTGTTAGCCTGTTTAAAACCTAATTGTCTTGTTTTTCTTGCCTCCTTGCACATTGTTAGTGTAGTGAAGTGCTCCCATATCTCATCAATTATTTTAGTGTGTACAATGTTCAAAATTATGAAAATAGGACCCAAATTTAGGAATTATCCTTATTTTGTAACATTGTAACTGCATCATGAGATGTGAGAGGAGAACCAATGTAAAAAGCCACTGATCACTGTTAATAATGAGTCTACACTACAGTTACCTTGAGGATTAAAGCTTCATTAAGATTCGTGTGGTACACATCTATCGTACATAAACAACAGGGATTTCATAATTCCATGTTTTTGGTGTATGGTTGATGCTATTTACATGAATCCATAAAATGTACTTCTATATGAAGCCATAGAACATACAATTTATTTAGCGCTCACACTGTTCATGTGTGTTTGTCTAAGCTGTATATCCCACATGGGTGCTTATTTTCCACTGTGCTATCAGCCTCTTCGTAAGCCGGGGCATATGTCTTCATTACCATATCTGACTGGCCCGCTAACAGGGAGGTGGGGGAGGCATCAATCACCTGGAGCAGCAGATAACAGGATGGATGAGACAGGGCATTGATCTCATCCAGAGGGAGCTGACACACAGTCATGTTACAGAAGGGGTTAATGCTCCACAAGCCACCTGGGATCAGTGAAGGTGCTCAGGTCAAGGCGACTCGAGGCGATTGTGGAGTGATGGAAGTAGGCAATATGGAGAACCGGCAGATGGGTCCCATTCATCACCAATGAATGTCAACATTGATGATCGAGAGGCTTAAGGAGAAGAGGGGTGGAGGTGGGGGTGGTGTCACTGGGTCACGCTGGAATGCGTTAGTTTCGATGTCAGTCATGTCATTGATAACGTGTCATTGATTTTGTGGAAAAACAGCAGATAGACTGATTTGTGATTTTTATCGCCAGGGAGCTCAACTAAACTAGCATTTGTACAGCTGCTGGGAGGTAACTTTCTTGTCACTGCGCTACTGTTGCATGTTTTTTTCTTATTATGTCAAAGTGAAGCAGCCAAAAATAGAAGGCAAAGCAAGGGCAAACTTTCCCCAGGTGCAAGTCTTTTTTTGTGTCTCTGTTTGTTTGGCAACTCTGGCACTAAACAAAAGTTTTTGTGCTCAGGTGGGAGGACATTAGGCTGGGTATCAGGTACTCAATACCTTTAAGGTATTGACCAAAATAACTCGGTGCTGAGCAGCATCAAAGCTTATCCAGTCAAAGGACACCTGCAGTCAGTCCTTTTTGTACTCAGATCTTGAAAATATAACTAGTTGTATGGTTTTACCTTATGCGTTCTTAGATTTAGGGTGTTTTCACATATAGTCCTTTTTAACAAACCGAACTCAGACCTCCTAAAGTGGACCAAAAGTGGACCAACAGAAAAGGGACTCAGTTCTCTTTCTGGTCAACTTCAGCTCTGATGAAGCCTCAGCCCTCTTTGTGTTCGCACTATAGGCTATATAATATGTAAAATATATGTTGACATAGCTTTGTTTTTACTTTGACGTGGCACTGCAGTGCAGTTATGAAGCCCCTTGCATTAAGAGGAACTTAAAATTGGAGGAAAATCTTAGTGTTTCTGTGCTGTAGACTGTTGCTGTTGGATGTTTTCTACATTTCACATCTGGAGACGTGCAGTCTTCGATGGACCAAACTACTACTCGTCCTGCATCCTTGCAAACGTTACAGGCCGATATGGTTTCATCAGTTATTTTAGGCGTCCCAGTCTATTAGCTATCTGTTATCTGGAGGGCTAAGTACAATGGCAAAGAGCAAAGCAAACCTGGAGCGCTTTGTGTTCACAATGCACAGGTTAAGTGAACCGCATCGTAGCCTTGAAGCAAGGTGGTCTGGACATGGTTCACTTCAGAGGGGTCTGAGTTCTCTTGTGTTCACATATGTACAAAAACTGCTGAGTCACCACTCTGAGTCCGCTTAGAGAGTTGAAAAGAACCAAGTGTGAAAACACCCTTAACACGACGTGTGATTGGCCCACTACGGCAACAACTACAACCCATACAGTCTGTGCTGTGGTGGTTTCTACAGTATAAACAGATTGTACATACAGTGACGGGACAGGACTTTGGAGTTGGAAGTCTTTTTGTTTCTGTTTGTAGTCCGAGTCGTGTTGACCAATCACATTTGAACAGTAGGTAAAAGGTCTGTATAGAGAGGTTGAACCCATTGGCCGAAATGCAATCTTGGAACCAACAAGCTCATGTGCAGGTATCTGCTTATATAGATTCTATTTGCTGTTGCTTAAACAACAGTTAGCTTTGTTAAATGGGAGGCTAACCATACAATGTGTATGTGCATGTAAATATGTATGTATGTATGTATGTATGTATGTGTATATATGTACATATGACCATATGTGTGTATGTATACACACCGATCAGCCAAAACATTAAAACCACTGACAGGTTAAGTGTACAACACTGATCATCTTGTTACAACGCAATGTTCTGTTGGGAAATCTTGGGTTCTGACATTCATGTGGTTGCCACCTGACACTCTCCACCCACCCACTGGCACTCCCCAGTAGCTGTGGCCCCCCCAGCAGGACAATGCACAATGCCACACCAAAAAAACTGCTCAGGAGTGGTCCGAGGAACGTGACAAGGAGTTCAACGCATCAACCTGACCTTCAAATTCCCCAGATCCTAATCTGATCAAACATCTGTGGGAGGTGCTGTTACCCCGCCTCACAACCCACAGGACTCAAAAGATCTGAAGCTAATGCCCTGGTGCCAGACACCAAGGGACATCCTCCAGAGGTCCTGTGTCCATGCCCTAACAGGTCAGAGCCAAGTCCAGTCCAAGGAGCACCCACCATGGATCAGGGGTAGCTCTGTGGTACCAGCACGTCCCTCAAATGGTGGACCAGATTGGGATCTGGGGTATTTGGAGGTCAGGTCAACATCTGGAGCTCTTTGTCCCATTCCTCGGGTCATGCCTGAGCAGTTTTTGTGGTGTGGCATGGTGCATTGTCCTGCTGGGGGGCCACTGCCATTGATTTGTGCCTTTGCCATGAGGGGGTTTATTTTGTCTGCAACGGTGTTCGGTGGGTGGAGCACGTTAAGTAGCATCCACATGGATGACAATTTGTTGGCTTATGGCAGTCTGATGTAGGAACTTCATGTATAACTTTTTTTTTCTTCCTTTAACGGCAGGTACTGCATGTATCCAAGACAAATTTCCTTCAGGACAAGAAAGTCCATCTTATCTTATTTTATCTTAGAGATTAATGAGCGGTGTGCAGAAGAGAAAGCCTTAGCCTGGGTATGTGATGGCTACACCAAATCAGCCTGAAATATTTTCCCTCACCCCCAGAGGCTTATCGTCATCAGACCAATAGCCAACGGGTTGCGAGATTGGTTGTGTGGTGAAGTCAAGCGCAGTGTATTTGATGGAGCTGGAAGTTCAGCGTGCTGAGATGCCACCAGAATGTGAAAGTCCACTGACAAAGTGGTGATATTTGACGAGGGATGGAAAGTTGCTAGAGAAGCAGACTATTAAGTCAGATTAGGTTTCAGGTCATCATTATATTAATTCAACTCAGAGGTTCTGCTTTCTGTACACACAAACATGAGGAGGAAAATGTGTTTCTTTGTTTTATAAATTAGCCTTATGCAAGCAATACAAATTAATAGATTGTGTTCTTTTTTTTATTTTTTGTAATAAATTAATTATTCGTTAATACAAACGTGCCAGTTTGAATGTGGTGTATCAAATTCAGGCTGCTTTACAACAAATTCCTGGGGCGCTTTTTGTTGCCAGTTTTTCTCTGGCTCCAGGCTATTGTTAAAGGAATGGGTAAGGCAGGAAACTGCCTTCAGGGAAAACTGGTCCACCAAAGTTATAAATTACTACAACTAATTAAGCAAAACTGATCCATGGTGTGTCACAGCATCTTGTATTTAAGGACGGAGTTTGCCTTTAATGAATCGGAAAATCGGTTTAACCTTTGAGTCCAGGGTTGTGAATCACAACATTGCTTTGTCTGCTCTTGTCACTTTTTGTTATTGAAGTATTCGCTTTTAATGGGTCAACTTGTCTTGGTGATTTACAACACAGAGTACTGTACAAGCAGATCAGAATGGGACCAACAGAATAACACAGAGGGAGCATTAAACAGATGGAATCACATTACACTGATAATGAGAAGGAGCTCAGAGGAGGTTAGCGCAGGGTTGGTGATGGTTTCTCTCAGGGTTCACTGGGTCTGGATGTTGGATGGATTAGACTAAGTATTGATTAGTAGGGACTGGTTGGGATTTGAGCTTATCTCAGCGGCTTACCTTCTTGTATCTGGGGACAGGAAGCTGTTTTTCCAGCACACATAAAGTGGCAACACACAGAGACGATGACAGCATGCAAAAGAGTAAAGGTGGAGGAGAAAAAGAAAGATAACATTGATCATGTGAAATTAAAGCCAAAGCAATTAAATTAACATGCAAGGAAAAGAAGACAAAAAACAACAACAACATACAGGCAGTCTGTGCGCTCTCTCAGTATCAGAATCAGAAATACTTTATTTATCCCCAAGGAGAAACTGTGATTTTTTACAGTCGCTCAGGTGTAAAGAATAGAGAATTATAAGAAGTAAGAACAGGCGTATGAAATAGAAGTAGCCTATGTAAATATAAGGTAATAAAAGTCAATAGAACAGAAATAAAATGTGCATAATGCTATAATGTTAACACTAGTACTTAAGATAGTAGGAATAAAATATATATCTTTACTGTGCTGAGTCTGTAAGTTTGTAAAAATACACAAATATATGCATTGTGCTACATTTCACTGTATAAACTAGTGTTACATTTAGAAATGTAAAATATGGGTTACACTTTCTGTGAGGACCACATCTATAATGCTTTATGACTACACTCATAAACACACATAATGCTCCTTGATGCATCAGCAGTCATAAAACATTATAGATGTGACTTATCATGAATTATAAGTGTCAAGCGTCTTATGGATGCTCTTGACTAGTTACAAACTAGAGGTTGACTGATGGGGCTTATGGATGAGCCACTTTACATATTCAGGATCACTGCATCAAGGCTATTATAGTTTTGTTGCTAACTAATACATGTGCATACATTTCAGGATGTTGTGCACAAACAAACAGAATGAGTGTAAACAAAACTGTTTTGATAATATATTTACCGTGTCTGGGGTAAGTTGAGCATAGGAGTGGGGTAAGTTGAGCCATCTCCCTCCTTCCCTCCCCCCCGCCCTCCCTCTTCCCCTCCCTTCCCCCCACCTCACCTTCTCTCCTCCCCCTCTCTCCCTCCCTCCCTGGGTCAAGATATTCCACAGTTATACATGTCTGTACTGAATTAAATAAGACGCTTCTTCAAATCCATGTGTATTTTTATTTATAACACAATTCAACAGGTACAAATCTTTTTTTAAATTATTCTTGCATATAACAACTCTAAAACATTTTAACATAGGCCTGAGAATACCTTAAAGTGCGCTTAGGAAGAGAACCATAACAACTGTGTTTTTGGAAAGAATACACTGAACTAAATCTGTAGACGTGAATCCTAGTTTTTGTGTGTGACTTCCGGTCAGCCACTTTCCCTCATGCTTTCCCTTACCGGAGCTAACAGTGCAAGCTAATTTTTTTCAGTTTTCAGTTGTTTATGTTAGGCAATCAGTTAGTTAGTTAGTTAGTTAGTCTGTGTATTTTGTATAGATAACTGTGCCCACGTTTCCTTTATAATGGAAATTTATTCCCTCTAAACGCGAATAAATCGTACGTCAATCAAAAACTATGAACCAAAAAAGCACAATCTATCCCGAGTGAGACAAACTGCTTGATCCCCGTCTCCAGTGTACCAGCAGAGAACCTGCAGAACTGAATCCGCGAAAAAACACACCGGGCTACACAGCCTCTCTACCTGAGCAGCTGAAGCTGTGGCTCGCACCCTCGACACACAGACACACAGACGGTCCGTCTGCATGCCAGCCAAATGTGTGCGCACCTGTGAGAAATAAATATGTGAGGTGTACGTTGCTTTTCTGTCTTTTTTTCTTTTCTTTCTTTCTTTCTGTCAGCGACATACACTCCTAACACAGGATGGGTTGTTTTTATTGACTGAGTTAATTATTAAGCCATAGTGATGTGCGGATCGGCTCTGATAGCACCCGAATCAGCATGTACGCATCAACCATCCAGCCGTTACAACATGATTGAGCTAGCAAAGCAGTTTTGTGTTGCTATGTGTGGTATTTATTCAGTTTTGGGAAATCACGATGTCTAGAAAGCATCAGTGGCTGCATCTGACAGGGACAGCTAACACTAGCAGCAAAGCTAACATCAGGAAGTCATCTGTTAAAAGCCTCCCGTTGTCGGATACGACATGAAACTACTCCAGTTAGCTCAATCATGTTGTAACTTAGACATCCGCTGGAAAAAATATTTTTTTCACGGACCGTTTATTGAGAGCATTGACGTACAGACACCGCTAACGGCTAATGGCTCACAGCTAACGGTTAGCCCAGCTAATCTACGATAACAAAACGTGCACAGAAATAGTAACGTTTGTTCGATCATTGTGTTTATAGACTTTACAAACATCATATTAGTCTAAACAGTGATATAGTGACGTGAAAAATGTGATATATGTATATATATATATATATACATAGCTAAACTCAGCAGGTAAACAACAAGGCGATTCCCATTTACATAATGGTCAAGAGTGCTGGACCGGAAGTGTCGCCCACAAAAATGGAAGCTGGCTGCATTCTGTTTTGCCTCCGTGTTTCCGTGAAAAATAAGGTGGATATGTCCTCCTTCATCCTCTCTAAACTCCTCCCTCCATCTTAATCTCATTCCATCCACCCCCCTCCCTCCTTCCATCCATATCCCACCTGCCCCTTTAATCAACATTCCACCTGTCCAGGTTGCAGGGGAATACAAACTGCTGGGACTTCCTTGCTGTGCCACCAACTCTGTGAGGTTTGGGGAGTTTTGCGATTACATCGCTTCTTGGGAAGAATCCCTCATCTTTCTCCTTTAAAGTAAAGCTTGATTTACCATATCCAGCTTTGCCTCTCTCAGAAACTTACGGCTCAACTTACCCCTGTGCAAATTGCTCAACTTACCCCATAGCTACCATATTGACTTTATTAGCCCCCACAGCTAAAATGGTGCACTTTCATGCTATCTGTACTACCTCATTTTGTAGCTAATAGATACCACAATTGATGTATAAAACAAATTAAAGATTATCTATTTTGGTCTAAACACAATCCCCATGAAACTTATGATAGACTACATTCACTTTCATGAGTGAAAAATGCTTTTTTGGACATGTAACCACTTAACCCATGTGGTTCTTACCTTCACAGACTCAATGAAATGATGCCTTCCTCCTAAATATTTGGTCATATGCTCAATTTTTTTTTACGGTTTCCTAGCAACAAGGGGCGGCTCAACTTGCCCCTATGCTTAACTTACCCCAGTCTCCCTACATACCTCAACAATCAACTGTAGTAGGGACTCACAGTATGTTATAACAGTCTGTGCAGTATTATAACTTATTGTGTGTGTTAAGTAAAGTAACATAATAATGGAGCCATAATAATGTACGCTTCAGGTTTCATTGTTGGTGTTGAATCAAGTGTGATGCATTTTCACATATTTAAAAGAATCTATGCTGCTTCATAAATGATTAATGTCTATCATACACCAGAAAACTTTGAAAAACTTTAAAAGGCTAAAGTCTGACACTCTCTCACATCTTAAGACCATTTGACATGAGTCAGAGAGTTTTGTCACAGAATACGATTTTACAAAAACTGGACATCCTGCAGAGTCACTTGTTGCAAAATGGTTAGTTTCAAAAAGGAAAAAAAAGTGGGAAGAAATTGTTGCAGCCCTCGAAATCCCCCATGAGTATGCTATTTGCTATAGCTAGCTAGCTAACCACTTTGCCCATTTCAAACAAGGCTTCTTGTAAGCTAACGTTAGCTCCTGGAGCTAACGTTATTCAGTAATATAAATGTTTACATAATGTGATTTTTTAAGCTAACAGGCTTCAGCTGAAAAATTCAGTTAGCTCGTTGGCTACTAGCAAACATTAAGTAACATTAGCTTGCAGCCCCTACAGTGGTTAGCTAGCTAACTATAGCATATAGACCAATTTTGAGTGGATTTTGCAGCAGCTGAGTGCACATACTGGTGGCAGAAAAACAGTGGACATCGTAGAGAAACAGTTGACATGCCTGAAATAAAAATGTCTTCTTGTGTCATTGGATATCAGAACAGGAAAACAGATTAAGATAATCTTCATTTTTATAGAAAAACGGAGGCAGAGGAATTACTGACGTGATGAAAGATAATTCACCATCATAAGGAATTGTAAAAACTCACATTTGTTAGGCATGGATTTGGTTAATTGTCCCTGGTTAAAACTTGTGGGGACATCATAATATAATTTAATGTGTAAGTAACAGATAACTTTTTAACTAGCTAGCTAACGCCATCTACTTATTAACTCCTTGATCAACACAATAGAATAACTTTCACCACTGCTTATTTTAGAAAGGACACCACAAAACATGTTATTTGTTTAGATTAATAAACAGACAGTTGATCATCGGTTGTTTCTAGCCATCTGTGATCAGCCATAGGTAGCAAGCTAGCTACGTTAGCTACATCGCTATCGTTAGGGTTCCTTTCACTTTCCCTGCCTGGATGCAGATAAACCGATCTAAACACACATAAGCTTTCTTGCGGTGGCCTTTCTAAAATGAACAGTGGCGAAAGTTAATATACTTTGTTATGATCAAGGTGTTAATAAGAAGACAGCGTTAGCTAGCTAGCACACTAACAAATTGCATAGTTGTACTCCACATTAAATTATATTAAATGGGGACGTCTCCAAACTAGTAACGTTAATTAGGGACAATAAGCCACACCCATGCTTGACATATGTGAGTTTTTACAATTATTTTGATGATTTATATTTCACCACGTAAATAAATGCAATTTAACAAAAAGCGGAGGAAACAAGCACCCAGATAGCACACATACATCTGGCCGACATCGGCCTGAGGACGACACATCGGCCCTGAATTTATAACGTCTGACAAGCGTCGGCCGCATGGGCGGATATCTTTAAATTTAATACTCTTTTGTCCCAGCTCATCAAACGTCTCTGTTACGTCGGCTTTGGGTCGGCCCAGTGCCGTAGAATGTCTGCCCACATACGGAAGTCGCCACAGAGGCGGGATTTCATCTCCGCGATGTTTGTTCGGAACTGAGCTCGCAGGTCGCAGCATCTCATCGCAGTTGGTTTCA